CGGAAAGAATTTGTTCAAAAACTCAGAAATTATTTGGCTCCACGATGTGATGGTTCGAGGCCTTAAGGAAATAAGCCACGTTTTTGCCTTGTCTTTCAGGGAAAAGGGAAATAATTTCATTCTAGCTATCTCTTCCATCCCATGATTGGGGAGGAAAGTTGCAACCATTTCCTCAAAATCCCTTATGTGTGAATAGGGGCTCTGAGTTTCAAATCCGTTGAATGTGGTAATTAGTTGCAACATCCCTGGCTTAACTATGAAAAGATGAGCTTGGACCGGAAGGAGGATGCATGATGGTGTGGTGCTTCGTGTTGGTTGTAGGAAATCCCTCATTGACCTCACCAGGGGATTCATTTGAAAATTATTCCCCTCATTCACGGGAGGGGAAAATTCATTCTCGGATTGGGTATTTGGGGTTCTTGTGGTCCCCTACCCCTTTGGATATTTGGATTTGCACCTATATTGTCAAAATTGTCACCCGCATCCTCGGGTTGTTCTTGGTCAATATTCATGGTAGGGGCCAAGTTTTGTCTAACAAGTCGGTTTCGGTCGTTCCGCCTCCACATAAAACAAAATATATACAAACAAAGTTATACACAAACAAGATTATGTACACGGAACAACGTACCTCAGCCCATGATAAAGATCAGGGGACTTACCTCCGTCGTCCGAAAATCACCTTCTTGGTTTGACACTTGCCTTCCCCGGCAACGGTGCCAAAAATGCTTGACAAATTTCCTTGTTGTTTCCTAACCTATAAATATCACCTTTTAGCATGTATAGTATATGAATAAAGAGGAGTGTCACTCTCCTAGGGATGATGTCAAAAGAAAGGGCAACGGAATGGTGGATGAATGAGATTTCAAATGTGAGTATGTGTGAACAAAAGTGCTCCCCAAGCGCAAGGATACTTTCATGGATCGTGTTTTACTTGGTGGTATTCCAAGGTCGTTTCCACAGGGAAGGAAGTAAACCGAGGGGAAGGTGATTTTGGGAGAAAGAAAGTGTAAAATCTTTGATTGTTGGAAGTTGTTTGGTGAAGTTGTTTTGATGCTAGTAAAATGAGAAACAAATGTTGGCAAATCCAAGAGGTCACTCCAATAGGAATACCGTCTCAACTCAAAACCCTCCTCCAATAGAGCATGAATGAACGATTGATTCGTGGGAAGCTAGGGGTAAGATTGGTGAGTATTTAAGCATAAACCGTGACTAGGCCTACGGAATATCAAAGACTCACCAAGTTATCCACCCTCAACCCAGTCAAACCGAACCATTGAACTCTGAAAAGAGGGGAGGAGAATGAGTTGAAATGTTATACCCAAGTGGAGGTTCCTCTTGGTTTTGCCAACTAAGAGATTTAGCTATTCATGCTTAAAATAAAGACAACAATATGATGAGAAGACATTATAAAAAAAAATAAAGACTAAAACTAAGCATAAACGAATTGCATAAATTTAACTTCCGGATAACCACCTCTTACTAAAGATTGGATGAGAAACTACTCACTCTTCATAGCTTTGTTAAAACTAGAAAAGTGAGTGATGCTCATCCCTCAAAGTAGAGGAGTTACAAGGTAACACATTTTACACAATGAGCCGATCTTTGACAAAGAATGAGTGAATCACGTTCCACCCTTCACGGCTTTGGTAAAGCTCTAGAAAAGTGGAAGAGTTTCACTCCTCTAAGGGAAGAAGGCAGCTCAAGCAATGGAAGTAAAGAAAAGCAATAACACAATAAAAGAAAGCAATACTTAAAGTAAAAGAAAGTAATAAATTAAAAGGAAGCAAGAATACAATAAAAGAAAGCTATAAGCAATAAGGAAAACAATAATACTTTTGGAGGGTTTTTCACTACCAAAAGATGAATGCTTTACAAGTCCTAAGGGGTGGTATTTATAGGCAACAAGGGAGGGTGAAAGTCTTGTTAGGTGACTTTGAATCTTGTTAGGTGGACTTGAAGAGTCTTGTTAGGTGGACTTGAAAATCTTGTTAGGTGACTTTGAATCTTGTTAGGTGGACTTGAAAATCTTGTTAGGTGGCCTTGAATTCTTTGATCCTCCTTTGTTTTGAGCTTTGATAATTGGCACCCCAGTAGTTTGTAGCTTTAATACAATTGGCTCCCCAGTAGTTTGTAGCTTTGACGCACAAAATCCTGAAAAGAACAACAATTAATGCATTATCCTTTATTCACACACTAATTCTAATTTGATTTATTTTGACTAGTTTAACTTTATTCAACTAACACAATTTACCTATTAAATTATGCCTTAATTAGGGTTAATCAATGTGCATGTTATCCTCTTCTCAAACCTTATAACAAACATAAACTTCAACCTGAAACAACCCAATGTATTTTCTTAGGTTATCCTTTTGATTACAAAGGTTACCTTTGCTATGATCCTAAATCCAACAAGATCTTTATCTCCAGATATGTAATATTTGATGAAACATTGTTTCCCTTTTCTGATTCTGTTCACTTTCCACAATTTACTCCTCCTAATCTTGATCACTAGTTGCCTTCTTCTTCTAATGACACATCCTCATCTCCAACTTTAGTGTTGGGACCACATCCTTCTACTCATCCTTCCCCTGTTCAGTATGATGTGTCTCCTTTTCTTCTTAATCATTTATCTTCAGTCCTACAATCCTCTCAGTCTTAAAGTTCAATTCCACCATCTTCTCTTTCTAATGTCGTATCACCTACTACATCAAAGAGTCCTATACTCATAGAGTCTTCAGTTTCTATACCTCCAGTTTTACCTCCATTAGCAATAATTCCTTCTACTCATCATATGACAACAAGATCCAAGTCTGGTATTTTCAAACCAAAGGTCTACTCAGCTACTACAACTTTGGCTGAACCTACCTCCTTTACCTCAGCATCCAAGTCTCTTGAATGGAGATAGGCAATGTCCGAAGAGTTTTTTGCACTGCAGCAGCAAGGTACCTGGTCCTTGGTTCCACCATCTCCTCATCAGAATCTTATTGGTTGTAAATGGGTCTATCGCATTAAACAAAAATTATGATGGTTTAATCTTTAGCTACAAAGCAAGACTTGTTGCTAAAGGCTTTCATCAAGAACCTGGCATTGATTACAGTGAAAATTTTAGTCCTGTGGTGAAACATGCCATTGTCAAACTCATTCTTGCTCTTTCTACAAATTTTAATTGGCCTATCCACTAGTTGGATGTCAAGAATGCCTTTTTACATGGTTCTCTTCATAAAGATGTCTATATGGCCTAGCCCCCAGGTTTCCTTGATCCTCTTACTCCTCATTATGTTTGCAAACTTCACAAATCTCTTTATGGTTTCAAACAGGCTCCTATAGCTTGGTTTGAGAAATTCACTACTCATCTTCACACTTATTCTTTTCATGCTTCTCCAGCTGATCCATCTTTATTCATTAGATCTATTTTAGGTTCTCTCACCATCTTACTTCTTTATGTGGATGATATTATCATCACTGGTAATGATTTTACATACATTCAAACTCTTAAGTCCAATCTTAATAAATCTTTTGAGATGAAAGACTTAGGTCCTCTTCATTACTTTCTTGGAATACAAGTTTAGTCCACCTCTATAGGACTTTTTCTTACTTAGTAGAAATATGTTACTGATTTGCTTCACAAAGCCAAGATGGTTGATTGTAAGCCTTGCAAAACACCTTCTACAGCCTCCTCTAGACTTAGCAAAGACTGTTGGTGTTCTTCTTCCAGATCCCTCATTGTATAGAAGTCTAGTGGGCTCCTTACAGTATCTTACATTCACTAGACCAGATATCACTTATGCTATTAATCATGTCTGTCAATACATGAATCAGCCTCTAGACATTCATTTTGTGGCAGTCAAACGTATTCTCAGGTATCTTAAAGGAAAAGGTACCTTTGGTCTTCTCTATCAATCTAGTTCTCTTAGTCTTTCAACATTTTTTGACGCTGATTGGGCAGAAGATCCTAATGATCGCAGATCTACAACAGGTTTTCTTTTGTATCTGGGTGATAATCCTATTCACTGGTCCACTAAGAAGCAGTAGACTATCTCCAGATCATCCACAGAGGCAGAATTTAGAGCACTTGCTCATACTATAACTGAGGTTATTTGGGTATAGAAATTGCTACAGAGTCTTCATATTCAACCTTCCTCTCCTCCCAAGCTTTGGTGTGACAATATTTCCGCTTTGGCTCTTGCCTCAAATCCAATGTTCCATGCCAGAACCAAACACATAGGGATTGATTTTCACTTTATTCGTGAGAGGGTAGCTCAGAAATCTCTTGCAGTCCATTATATTTCTACCAAGGAACAACTAGCTGATATTTTCACCAAAAGTCTTCCCATAGCTAGGTTTTTTGATGCTCAGAGACAAACTTATGGTTGTTCCCCCCCATAAGTTTGAGGGGGTGTATTAACCAATTGAGCTTCCTCACTATTAGTTACAATGAACCTCAGCACACTACAACTGCTCAACCAAATCCAGCTGATCAACACATGTGAAACTGTTGTAACTAACTCCTGTCTAGCTTAGCAAGATCTGTAACAGAGTTGACAGTTTGTTAGTCTAAGAATTGTGTATAAATACAACATTATGTATAGAGTAAGTTGTAATGAAAAATAAATCAGCAATGAAAGTTCTCTGTCTTCATCTTCTTCATCTTTCTGAAACTGTGTATTTCAACAATTTTCTGGTCTCTTTTGGCTGGTTTTAGTCGCAGTCCAAGTCGTCTTGAATCTTAGCTTGCTGTTATTTTTAAGTTATCAAGTTCTAGAGTCCTTTAGGGTGGTGTATTTTCGTTTCTAGCTTATCAAATTACCATGTAAAATAACCAAAACCTTCCCTAGACTTGGGAACTGGGTTTCCTATGTCAACAAGAGTCAACTAATGGAATGCAAGCTCAACTTGAGAAGCTTCACCACCTTGTTACTACTTGACAAGTAAATGCCCTTTCCTAAAGCTAAGTTAAAGTTGATAAGGAACCTAGAGGGGTAGTTGATGAAAGTGACTAGGGGATTGATGTTGAAGAAGTTGCTCATAATCTAGAAAATAGAGGTCATAGAATAGATGATAGGCCTCTTAAACGTGACAACAATTGGGACCATGGCCTCAAGATTGATGTAGATGAGTTTGAAGGTCGTCTACAACCTAAGGAGTTCTTCAATTGGGTTGATAATGTAACACCCCTAAAACCGAGAGTCATTATTTAACTCATTGACCACCCGTCAACCCGCAGAATTGCCCGTGAGTGTCGCTTGATTCGACATCACACTGTTATTATTCCATTACCTAAAATTTTAACTCACACTCCTTTAATCATTTAATCCGACCAAGGTCCAATATACCTTATTTAATGTCCATTTGTATCATTGGAACCAAGGAAAACAAAGCCCAAAAGTATGGAAAAATAATTTAAAAATTTTAGATTTTAGGAGACAGTACCGGTACTGTGTATCGGTACGGCTTGTCTTCTGGACAGACAGTACCGGTACGCTTTTCCTTCTGGACAGACTATACCGGTACGCAGTACCAGTATACTTTGTCCAGTTTTTCCCAATTCACCTGTTGTCAATTTTAACCCATTCCAAAACCTACATTTTTCATCCAAAACATATTAAATCATGTTTTTCACATATAATCTAATATATACAACATCTAATACAACCCATTCCATACATTTACATGCCTAAAGGGTTTTAAACAAAAGTTTTTACAAAACTTGTTTCCAAAAGCCACAAATCGACTTTTCTTCATCTTTAAGGCCCCGAATGTGAGTCCTCCATCGGTACGAACCCCGCACTTGAAGTGTGTTCCCGTATAGGGTGAGCCCTTCCCGGCTCCTCAACACATGCCATGTCAATGTGTATTAACATCGAGCTTTTCTAGCTCCGGCTATCTACCTTCACCCCATGCTATGCAGTGAGTATCAAAATTGGGCTCTCCAAGCCCCCGCCATTTGTGTTACACACCCAATAGCTAACTAAAATCTCCGGGTCTTTCTTGGGGTGGGTATTTATGGAATTACATCGACAGTCACCCAACAGACACGAAATTCATGGACTTTCACCAACGGTTCTGCGTACACCGATACACTTTATGAGCTCTTATACCAACGGAAGTGCATCCAAATACCGGATCTCTCACCCGAGGGATAGTCTAACCCTTCTTGCTACCCCGACCCAAGTCTTTTTCATGTTATTGTGCGACTTAGTCGGACATTCAATCCAACTTTTTTGAGCCCACCCATCATCCACCTACGTGGTGTTTGATGCCAACCATGCACCCACACCCATAAATTGCAATGTTTATATGTATATGCAATGTAATGCATCATTGCCATTCCAATATCATGCCCACATGTAATGAATGTCATATGAGAAATTTTAAAAACCACATGTCATCACAATGTCAATATCTCAATGAGAATATATTAGCATTTCTTTCCAACACATTTTTTCTAAGCATGTTATGCATCATTACGTCATAACAACTTGATTCATACATAGGCATTTCGCAAACACCATCAAAGCAATAATTCATGTTATCACACAAGAATTTTCACCTCATTCACAAGCATGATATAAAACATATAGTATGCCCACATAACACCCATTTTCCATAGAATTTCACAATAATTGCAACTCACCAATTCCAATCTAGGAATTTTTCTTAATTTAGGTCAAATTCACATACCCAATTCACCAATCACCCAATTCTATCAATTTCACAACCATAGACAAGTGATATGTATAGCTATCCATCTACCCATTACATATAACACTAGGTTGTAAAATAAATCCAAGTAAGAAGAAACCCTACCTCTTGAAGCGTAAACCCACTTGGTAGAAGCCCTCAAGACTCAAATTCTCGCCCCAAGTCCTTGATTCCACCAAGCTTGGTTTTGAAACTTTGGTAAAATTCCTCATTTTTGGTGTGGTCGTGTAGCCCTCGACGAGGAGATCGACTTTTGTTCTTGTCCCGAGTGAATTTGAGCACCGTATCCTTGTAGATCGTAGAGAGAAGGTAGAGTTTTTTTCCTCACTTTCCCTCTCTTTCTCTCAACGTTAATGGCCGGCTGAAGAAATGGGGGAAAATCTGATTTTCTCCCTATTTATACTCTTAGAATGCTTGGCCCACAACGCGCCACACAACCCTTTTATTTTCGGGTCCGTTTTCATTCTGAAATGATTAAATTTTATCCCGATTTAAATTTAAATTAATTTTATTTTAATTTACCTTAAATTATTTTCCAACTTTCAAAATTTTATTGAAAATCCCATTTTTGGGTCACTCAAGACTCGACCGACCGCCTTGTAAAACGTAAAAAATCTAACAATCTCAAAATTCGATGAATTTGACGTGGTAACTGGGTTTCGCGAAATGAATCCAATGGTGAGGTCCGTTTCGTCATCCGAGATCTTGAAAATTTTAAGTTTTCAACCCGTACTATAGTGACAAAATTATCATTTTGCCCTTATTTACAAAAGTTTAAATTTACTGGATTTTACAAATAAGGTAGATCAATTATTTACGTGGAAAGAGATGCCCGATGATAAGAAAGTCAAGTTTGTTAGTCTAAAACTTAAGGGGCATGCTCTTGTTTGGTGGAAAAAACTCCAATATAGTAGAGTGGACAAGGGTAAAGGGAAGATTAGATCATGGCATTGCATGAAAAAGAAACTTGAGGGAAAGTTTCTCCCATCTAACTACCGCCAAAATAACAAAACTGTGGTTGAATACACTAAGAAGGAGGTCTACATGCTTCAAGCTTAAAATGACTTAGGATAGGATGAGTAGCAAAGTGTAGCCCATTATTTGGTGGGACTATGACTTCCTATTTAGGACCAAGTTGTGCTACATAACTTGGTCAAGGTAGATGATGCATACCTTCGTGCACTTAAAATACAGATTTAACTTAAATGGTTAGCAACTTGTAGGATGGATCTAGGACATGGTGAAATGATTTTTTGGAGGACTCAAGCTAGGAGTGTACCCATTGATGCCCCAAATGTGCCATCCTCTAGGTCAAACCAACCAAATCATCCTCAAGCACCTAAAGGTAAAGGCATCCTAGGTGCAAAACCCTCTTCATATAATTGTTTTAAGTAGTCAACTAGGGCATATATCCTCAACTTGTCCAAGGAGAAAATTTGTTCCTCAGTCAAATTTAATAGAGCAAGAGTCAAATAAACACCATCCTGAGAATAAGCCTAACCTTGAGGAATCAAGTGGTGAGGAAGAACTAAATATTGGCATTGAGGAAGTAGAGGGTAATGTAGATGGTCAATTTCTTGTGATTCTTTGTGTTATGTTGGCTTCTAAAGTCCCATTGACTAATACATGGTTGAGACAAAGTCTCTTTCACACTACTGGCACCAGTGAAGTTAAGTTATGTTTTGTTGTCATTAATAGTGGAAGCATCGAAAACTTTGTTTCCCCATAAATGGTTGATTAAGAAGCTTGCTAAACCATACAAAGGAAGGTGGTGAAGTCCCAGTCACACATTGTTGTCTAGTGAAATTCTCTATTGGGAAGAATTATAGGGACGAAGTTTAGTGTGGTGTGGTTCCTTTGTAGGTGTGTCACATTTTGGTTGGATTACCTTGGCAATTTGACATGAAGACTTTGAATGATGGGGAAAATAATACCTATACCTTCAAAATGGGTAGTCTTAAGTTATTATTGTGTCCTAAAAAATGATGCAAGATTGCCTTGAAAGCAGGTTGACCAACCATTAACTTAAAATAAAGTCCAACATAAATCTTTCATGATCCTTAATGAAAATCAATTGAAACAGAATTAAAAGAGTCTCAAGTTGTTTGTTTCCTAGTAGTTTAAGAGGTCAACAACGAGTATGAAACTCCTAAGGAAGTTTAACCATTGCTTAATGAATTTGAGGACATTCTTCTTGAGGAACTTCCTAATGGACTAGTGCGACTTAGAGATATCCAACATTGCATAGACCTCATTAGAACATGAGGAGTTGCATAAGAAGGTGTCAAAGTTTCTTGGGAAGGAACATATTAGAGAGAGTATGAGTCTTTGTGCAGTCCAGTCCTTCTTACACCAAAGAAGTATGGTAATTGGAGAATATGCATTGATAGTCGCTCCATAACAAAATCACTATTAAGTACAGTTTTCTCATATCTATTGTTGATGATATACTTGATATGTTGGGTGGTGCAAAAATATTTTGAAATATTTACCTTATGAAGGGCTTACATCAAATCAGGATATGACCTGGGG